CTTTCTGACCTCCCTTTTGAAGGAGCAGAAAAATAGAAAAAAAGAGGGAAAATGTCAAATATACTTGGTATACAACAAAAGAAACCCTTTTATTTTATTGCTGTTCTTCATAATCAAGTTTACAGACAAGTCCTTCAACAATAAGAAAATGTTTAAAAGAAATTATGTATAAAAACTTTGTGATTTGTGTAGATTCTGAATAATAATGACTTTCTTTTATTTGCAATTATACCAAGCATGGCAGAAGAACCAGCAGAAAATGAAAGACTTGAAGAAATGTAGGCACTGTAAGTAATATTAAGTAATTTTGCTGTTTGTGGTGTTTCCTTTAATTAGCTGGTCACCTCCAAACGGGACGACAGTCATCGATGTTGAGATGGCCTCCGTCACAGACTCGCGAGGACGGGCGGCAAAGATGTTCGCTAGTGACCTACGACAGCTACAGGCTTCCTGCCTATGCCTGTAGAAGGGGACTTTGAGATGTCATGCTGAAGTTTTCTGGAGATTATCTGGTTTTATTTTTTGGAAGCAGTCCTAATGGAAACATGATGCAGCCAAACTAAAGATACGCTCACTGGTAGAAGTGTGAGGATTATGGGTATTACCCATTGAAGTAGATTGTTTAATTGATAGTTTCTTTCTGACGTCCCTGTTGAAGAAGCAGAAAAATAGAAAAAATGGGAAAATGTCAAATATACTTGGTATACAACAAAAGAAACCCTTTTATTTTATTGCTGTTCTTCATAATCAAGTTTACAGACAAGTCCTTCAACAATAAGAAAATATTTAAAAGAAATTATGTATAAAAAATGTTGTGATTTGTGTAGATTCTGAATAATAATGACTTTCTTTTATTTCCAATCATACCAAGCATGGCAGAAGAACCAGCAGAAAATGAAAGACTTGAAGAAATGTAGGCAATATATGCGAATTGTATATATATATGTTTATGTATATCAGTTCTTTTGTAAGTGAAAATGGGTTTGCAAAAAAAGGACATGCAATAGTTTTATTTGAAATTTTGAATTTACATGGGGAAAATATTTTCCTATTCTTTTCCATTTTTGGTATATTTAATGCATCATGATTGTCAAATTGTAGAACACCATAAACCTTGAATTGAAATTGATTTAAACTATGGTTAAAAGTAGAATTTTGTAACAGAATTTGAATCTTGATCTGAAAAATGTTTGCAATATACTGAACAAATATCAAATAATCATTTCAGAAATACATTGCGCTTCAAGTGCTGCGTCTTTACTAACATTTAACATAGTTGTTTCTAGTTTGATTGGTCAGGTCTTATTGTCTGTTTCTTGCTTTTGTTCTATGGATGGTTCAGTGGTTTCTATGTATTCAGGATATGGTGTGTGTTATTCAAAGGGATCTTTTAATGTAATTCTGAAATGATATACATTCGATATTTGATAGTTATTGAGATTGAAAAGACCAATTATCAAGCTTTTAATTTTGTTTATAATTTTCAAAATGAAGTTGTACTTAACACATTATGATGCATTGGAATTAAAAAAAAACAACCAAAAACGCATTCTGAATATTAGATTAAATTAAAGCACTCTGAGTAAAAGTTAATTTTGTACGGTTTATTAAATTGAATTTAAGCAAGTTGAAAAAATCCAAAAAGTATATATTTACATTGGCTTTTTATCTGATTATGAAAAGCCAAGATCACTACGAAGGAAGACCTGCAGTAAAAATAATATTTAGTAAGTCTAATGTGAATGATCTGGGCCCTTCACATATTTTCTATTGTTTCGACTAAAAAAAAATAGTGATTATATCTGTAATTTCCAATACTTTCATTCAGTCATCTGAAAATATCATCTTCCAGTGGTCTTTATAATTCACACGAATTATCTCAAACCTTGGGTTAATTTTCAACCTTGACCTTTGATACAGTAGGCTGTCATCTATATTTTCTCCATACATTAGATGAAACGTTTATTTGGGTAATTAAACTTGTGTATGATTCTCATTGTAAATAGTTCCTTAAACCATTTAACATTGTGAATGTTGAAAATGTAACATAACCATTCTTAAAAAATCCCACAGGTTTAAAATTCAAAATTATAAGAAATGTAGATTCTATCTTTGATTCGAATGTGAGATTACATTTCTCTGCTTTAAACAGTTATTTTTTTTTATTTAAAAAGTGAGGCTTGAGATTTTAAAGTTTCACCTTGTTTTCAACATTTTCTCCAATTGCCAATTTTAAAGGTTTAAATATGATGCATAAATTTTCATACTGGCAATCTATCTTCTTATTTGTTTAAGGCTGCATGTCACAAATCCTTTTTGTTATATTAGAAATTATTTTTAAAGAAATTCATGTTTAATGTTGAACCTTTTTTGTTGATTAATTTTTTTTAAAATAATTTTTGCAGTAGAAGTTGTAATAGATTCTACTTTTAAATTAACTACAAATCTAAAGTTTAAAGTAAACTATTTCTTTTTTCTTTTTATTGGGGGAGGGGGGTGGAGGGTTATACTAAATACTAGTTCACAGGAGATAAGTCATCAAGGTTTCAGTTTTATTCTCTGTGTTAATTTTCACATTATATTTTGCTGTAATATATGAAGTTCAAAACCACTTACTTTAGATATTTCCATTCTTATTGGTACCAACTTGCATGATTTAGGCGAGCATTACACAATTTTGACCGCTTGTCCCAATCGCACTATCTTGATCATAACAGCCCTGAAACATAATTTTTGTAAAATCTATGTGAAAATGTTGATTTCAGATTTTGAATAGTTGACAAGGGAGACAATTGAGATCAAAGATAATAAGTCAATCAAAAGCAGTTAGAATTTTCCTAGATACTTGATTTCATATTTCATGATTTTGACAAAATCTGCACACAAAAAAACAATAAAAAAATGCTATTTTTATTTTTGTTAAATTCATAGTTCACCTATATCCACAAAATCTGTAAAACTAATTACACTATACCAATAGTGAATCCACAGTATTGTTTTTGCTTCAAACAATTTTAAATCTGGAAAATTTTATACATTTTTAAAGAAATAATTTTTATGCCCCTTCCCTAGAGGAGGGGCATTAAGGTTTACCCTTGTCTGTACGTCCCAAAATTGGTTTCCATTCTCTAACTTAAGTTTGCCTCATCCAAATGTTATGAAACTTATACACAATGCTTATTACCAAAAAAAAACAACAGATCAAGTTCGATTTTGGGCAGTGTCACTTTACAGTTCTCTAGTTATGTCCCTTTATAAGGTTATATGCAAGCGGGGGCATCATCTTTGTCCCATGGACACACTCCATTTATTTGTTTATTTTTAGAAGTAACTTAGACTGCTGTTAATCATTACTATGTAGTAAGGGAGGTAACTTGCTCATCATGCAAATAAGTTAACCACAACAATCGGGAAATGTGTTTAATTACCATATGAACCATCTTAAGTTTGTTGAAATTTAGAATAAGAAATTCGTTAGTTTTGAATATATTTTGTACTTTGATCTTTAAAAGAAGCATATTTTTCTCAGTGCATAAATAATTTCCTCCTTGGAATCCAAACCAATTTGTCTTTTTTATATTATTGCAAAACATTTTGTAATGTTAATTTTTTATATGACTAATTTCAATTTTATTGACACTTTGTCTCTATATTTGTAGAAGATGAAATTTATTCATGACTATACCATGAGTATTCAGCACAAATTCATATCTAAGTGAAGTATTTATCAATCAATGTTAGTACGACTGAAAGGAAGATGTATTGTATTTAACTATGCTTCCAAATTTAAGAAATGGTTGATGATTTATTTTAAACAATTCAATTTTGCTGTGGATATTTTTTGTCTAGTTTTGAAAGATACATTTAGAAAGAGACTGTCAACAAAATTAATTGATTTTTAATTTTTAATTTTATACCATCACCGACATGTTACTGACTAAATGTATCATACAAGAGCCTATCACCTCAGGTACGGTGTTTCAGTTGTGATGGATGTGGAGTCCTAACAGGCTGAAATTAAGGGCAAGGGGAGGTAATACCCCCATTTTACTCCTTGTACTGGAAGTTCCTTCAGTGTAGGCAATAACTAGACGTTTTTTTATTATGTCTATCATATGTGTATAAGTATTTATATATCAGATTCTGTTAACTATTCTATTGCTATTTTATAGAGCTTTGTAAATAAAAATCACTGTAAGAAGAGTTTTAGATAATAGTTTTAAAGGGTGGAAGAAATTGTGGATTACAACCAACTTTTCGGAAATTTTCAAAATATTGGGCATGTTTAAATGCACATCTGGTACTTAATACATTATGTTATAATAATCCAGTAAATCATCATGATCGGAAAAAAGAAGTTATTCGGAGAAATAAAATAAACAATTTTGTGACAAACTGTTTATTATTAAATATTGTGAATGAAGTAGACATTTCAGTTATTCAAATGGACCGTTGATTCCGTTGTTGAAAAAATTGTAAGGAATCAATAGCAGCTCCATGGAAGATGGTGAAATAGATCTTGAACCAAATTGGAGGCTGTACCATGAACGAAATCAGGCAAGTTTTTTTAAGCCCTACAATTTTTATAGATTCTATAGAAATGAACATCAGTACATAAAAGTACACAAGACAACAAACAATATGATTATTTCTATCTTTCTCATTCATAACACCAATAGCAAGTTCATTTACCATTTTCATATATTTTATTATAAGTTACGAGGTATATGAAAACAATTATAATATCAAATTATTTTATCTTGAAGGGGAGACAAGTACAATAAACAATTATGTTTCATTCAATGGGAGATTACTCAGATAAATTTTGTGCAGATGGAATTAAAATCAAACTGTGTTCCAGCTATTTAATTCCTACACAGAAAGGACTGATGCTATATTACTGGGTAGTAAGAAATATAAAAACTTTAATAAAGTTTAAGGATGGTAGTTTAGTTAAATTGGATAAATATATAATTTGTGTGTCAATTTTAATTCCTTTTAGATTATTTCTGGGACATATTTCATGGTATTGGGAGTAAGGCTTGGTGGCCTACTACAGCTAAGATATAAGTAGGTTTATAATTTCTTTTTTGAAACAAATGATATGTTCATTATACTATAAAAAAAAAATAAAGGGAAAATAACGTGATCTGAGAATTGAAAAAATACGTAATCAGTATTGTTATCGGTTACAATAAACCTTTATAAATATAAGGAGATGTGGTATAATTGCCAATGAGATAACTATCCACCCAAGTTTAAATAAAGTTGATACAATAAATTATAGGCAACCAAACGGCTTCAACAATGAGAAAAACCCATACCATATAGTCTGCTGTAAAAAGCCCAACATGAAAAAATGTGAAACAATTCAATAGAAGAAACTAATGGCCTAATTTACAACAACAATTTATGAAGAACAAATATGACAGACCTGAAGCAAATACAACCACTGAACTACAGGCTCCTGACTTGGGACAGGCACATAAAGAATGTGGCGATGTTAAACATGTCTGTGAGTGCTCAACCCTCCCCTAACCTGGGACAGTGGTGTTACAGCACAACATGAGAACAAACTGTAAAAATAAGTTGATCTAATCTAAACTCAATAGATCTGTACAAGACACAAAAACAACTAACATAAAAACTATAGACACAAAGAAATAAATCATGTTTTCCCAAACTGAAGTATCATTATTATGCACAGATCATTTGATTTTCTTAGGGTGGGGCCTTGGATTTTATATGAAGCCAGATTTTTAAGCAAGACAATTTTGTTTTACATCATTCATATCATACTTGCTGAAAATGAAAAATGTTTCTTTTTTTTTTTATCAAAATGGAGGCAGGATTATTTAAAAAAAAAAAACAAACCAAGCCTTTTAATTCTGAGCAAGGGTGTAATCTAAAAAAATCAGCTTTCTAAAGTCTGTATCTCAGAGGGATACTATTGTCGCTTATTGGGAAATTAATTGTATTTTGCAATCTATATGACTAAATGTGAAGAACCCAATTAATTACATGGATGTCTTAAACTTTTGTGTTCTTGGGTTGCTGTAAAATTGATGTTTCCCTCGCATTTCCTTTTACTTAAGTTATATATAACCTATTTCTATTTCTATATAACATACAATATACCAATTGAAGTACTTCTTAACAATTTTGAATGTTTTAACCTTACATTTTTCAGGTTAGCTTTCAGTTTGTTTGTAAGGATTGAGACTGGAAATAGCAATTGGAGCAGACTTTTAAAGTAAGATTTAAACTCTACATGGATTAGTTAATTTCTGATCTCAGATCATGTAAATGTCCATTATTATTGTATCATATTCAGATGAAGATCTAATTATACCCCATGCAATGAAGTTGCGTGGGGTATGATGTTTTTGACCTGTCCATTCGTCAGTCAGTCTTGTTGTCATTGCAACTCCACTGAAACCACACAACCGAATTTCATGAAACTTGTAGATAGTAAGGACATACTATGTAGATGTGCATATTGACAGGAATTTTTTTCTAGGAGTTATGCCATTTGAACATTTGAATTTTGGCCTATACTGCTGTAACAGTTTGTCATCGCAACTCCTCTGAAACTGTACAAAAGAATTTCATGAAACTGTAGTTAATGAGGAGACACTATGTTGATATGTTGCATATCGACATGAAATTAAGATTCAATTTTTTTTATAGGAGTTATGCCCCTTTGAACTTAGAATTTTGGCCTATACTGCTGTAACAGTTTGTCATCGCAACTCCTCTGAAACCGCACAACAGAATTTCATGAAACTTTGTAGTTAATGAGGACATTATATATAGATGTGCATATCCACAAGAAATTTTTATCAGTTGACTTTAGTTTTAGGAGTTATGAGTCTTTGAACTTGGGAATCTGGTGAGGTTTTGTTTGCCCAGTGACAATGTGGGGGCGTGGGGTATGTGAGCATGTTCACAAAGGTTCTTTAATTGTATTTATAACTGCCTTGGTGGTCTCATTGTAGCGTCTTTGCCTTGAGTGCGGGAGATCCTGATTTCAATCCCCACCCAGGTCAAACCAAAGACTTGAAAATTGGTATTTGCTGCTGCTCCCCTAATCATGCCTCATTTAGGAGTAAGAGCAAAGACTGGTCGGAATTAAGTGTCAAGGTAGGGTGACATGTCTTCATGTGGACTGTTACCTTGTGAACTAGCACGTTAAAAATGTAGCTCAGCATGTCGATCTAGTACAAAGCAGTTTTCATATTAACATCGCACTTGCATGTTCTTGTCCTGAATATGCATTTAATTTGCCACTGGACGTTAAACAGTCATCCATCCATCTTGTATCTAAATGTTAATATGATAATTCTGTATAAAAAATCTGAAGAGAGGTGTCGAGATAAATAAGTACTGGAAAACAATTTTTTTTCTTAAAGGAGACTTGACACGATTTTTTTTTTTTTAATGAATCAATAAATATTGGTGTTAAAACATGTTTTGTACAATTTTGCTGGTCAAAACCTGATCAATCAGCATTTTTTATATCAAAGAATCCAGCCCTTGTCTTAAGTCAATGATTTTTTATTAGATAACGATCATGTGATCTTGCTTAGGTCACAAACTGAGAAGATGTCAATCACTTTTCTGCACAGTTACACATGGACAGTATTGACAGCAGTTTTCCCGATGACTGACAAAACTAAAGACAATTGACCTCATCCATTTGAGCCATTGAGTGTTGAAAATAACCAAGAATTAAAACATTAATTCTTCATGCGAAGATTCAAACATTGACGATTTTACAGTCAATACTGACCGACTTGTTACTATACATATGGGTTCGTCTGATGAATAAATTTGATAATTAAAGTGCTTTCTGCAGTTTTATTACTACTTTTGATTATGACTGAAAGTTTAAATTTCTAATTATTGAATGATCAAATTGTCAGGTTTTTTTTCTCTCTCTTTTACAGTAACGTTATAGGTGTGCACCAGAAGAAGAAAGAAACGCTGGTAAAAGTCAAATTAGGCAATTGCAAAGGGTACGTTTTTAATTTAATTTTGTTGCTGTTATGGAGTGACTTTTAATGGGTATAAATTATCATCAAAATTTATGCCTATATTTTTTTTGGTTGGAAATCATACATCACACTTATCCATGTCAGACTCTCTATTTTCTGCATTTAGAAGTTTTTTGTCTCACAGTTGAATAGGCGGGACATATTTTCTTTGAGGAGTCTTCAAATAACAATTTTATTACCTTTTTCCCCCTTTTATGTCTGCATTTATTGGAGGCTGTTGTTTTAGTTATTAAATTTTCACACCTTTAGCATACTTGACCAGGTGAAAAGTAATAAGGCACCTGTAGTGTGATTTAGTCAGTGTAATGTTATTTACCTTTTAAAACCACACATTTTGAAGAAAAATGTCATGTTAAAATAATTAATATATAGTAATACTACATTTTCTAAAGTATGCAATTCCATCCAGACCCTTATAAATATAACTTCAAATTACAGGAAAGTAAATTTAAATTCACATATTTACACCCTCTCTACCAAATATTATCTAGCATTTAATTTGTTTATTGCTACCACCAAAATGCTTCAGTCCAGGAAAATATTCATAAACATGATTCTCTTTTTGATGTTTGCCAAAAACATTTCTTCATATAGGGGTCATTTAAAAAAAATGTTGAATTTTTGATTGGGGCTGAGCATGAAAATGTATACATGTAACATACTTCAGTCTAGGAGAACATGAGTAATGTATTAGTTGTAATTGGCTTTGAATTAGCTTACAGTAAATGTGAATACTCTTATTTCCGTGCTTTGTGTCAGATTGTTTTTATGTTAGTGGTTTTTGTCAAGCCTGCGACTTTTGTCACAGAAAGCTCAACATACGGATAGTGATTCCAGCGGCTGCGTTAGCTAACTTCTTAAAAGCTTTATATTTTAGAAGGTGGAAGACCTGGATGCTTCATACTTTGTATATAGAGATGCCTTATGTTACGAAGTTTCCATCTGTCACATGTCCATTGTCCTTGACCTCATTTTCATGGTTCAGTGACTACTTGAAAAAAAAGTTAATATTTTTTGTAATGTTAATTTCTCTCTTATGAGTAATAGGATAACTATATTTGGTATGTGCGTACCTTGCAAGGTCCTCATGCCCGTCAGACAGTTTTCACTTGATCTCGACCTCGTATCATGGATCAGTGAACAAGGTTAAGTTTTGGTGGTCAAGTCCATATCTCAGATACTAGCAGCAATAGGTCTAGCATATTCGGTGTATGGAAGGACTGTAAGGTGTACATGTCCAACTGACAGGTGTCATCTGACCTTGACCTCATTTTCATGGTTCAGTGGTTGTAGTTAAGTTTTTGTGTTTTAGTCTATTTTTCTCACTGTATGCAATAGGTCTACTATAGTTGGTGTATGGAATGATTGTAAGGTGTACATGTCTAGCTGGCAGGTGTCTTCTGACCTTGACCTCATTTTCATGTTTCAGTGGTCAAAGTTAAGTTTTTGAGTTTTGGTCTTTTTTTCTAATACTATATGCAATTGGTCAACTATATTTGGTGTATGGAAATATTTTATAATGTACATGTCAGTCTTGCAGGTTTTATTTGACCTTGACGCTCAGTGTTATGTTTTTGTGTTTTGATCTGTTTTTCTAATACTATAAGCAATAGGTCAACTATATTTGTTGTATGGAAGGATTGCAAGCTGTACATGTCTGCCTGGCATGGTTCATCTGACCTTGACCTCATTTTCATGGTTCATTGGTCAATGTTTAGTTTTCTTGGTTAAGTCTGTATCTTAGAAACTATAAGCAATAGGTCAACTATATTTAGTGTATTGAATGATTGTAAGGTGTACATGTATTTCTTGTTTGGTTTATATGACCTTGACCTCATTTTCTTGGATCATGTTAAGTTTATGTGATAGTTGTAGTAAAGCTTTATATTAAGAACTATCAACATAATATCAATGATTAGTAGAGAATGCGAGACATTTCAGCGTGTGCACTCTTGTCTTTAACAAGTATGTGTTATTAATATACTGTTTTGTTAAAGAAATCTATCGTGCTTGGATTGATCTGTAAAAGGAATACTTCAAACAAGTATATTTTTTTTTATTATTTGTTTATAGGCTGATGTAATGACAATGATTTCATGGTGTTGGGATTTAGAATTGGAGATCTGATACTGCTAACATGTTGGTAGGTATATATACAAACTTTTTTTAATCTAAAAGTTTGATGTCACTTTAATAATGGTTCAGGTATCAGAAAAGATTGAATTACATGTAGATATTCAGCTCCAGAAGAAAGAGGGTATATAATTGTCCAAAATGGTAAAAATACTGCCAAGCTTAGAAAGGGAAATTGTTTTTGACGTTTTTTCTATTTGTCAAGTTTTAAACTGAATACCCACTGGATTTCGTGAGTAATAGTGAACCACTAATTTAAGTCAGGAATATGACAGTTGTGATCCATTCGTTTGAAATGTTTGGGTTTTTTTTTATTTTGCCATTTGATTGGGGACTTTCCTTTTTGAATTTTCCTCGGAGTTCAGTATTTTTGTGATTTTACTTTTTAAATGTTCAACGAAGTACCAATTTTCTATCAATCAACTTTCGATCAAATATCCACAGAAATCCAATTTTTCCTCAATCTCCACAAAATCAATGAATCCATAGTAGATTATTTTGAGGAGTTTAAATAACCAATTCATTTTTTATTACAGGTTAGTATCACAGCTTGTCCATAGGGATACTGGCTGGGGTAGCATTTGGATCTGTTTTCAAGGTGAGAATATATTTACAAATTTAATTAATTGATGTAATCTTATGGACAGTTTAAATTTCTATAAATCTTTATTGTTTGCAATTATATTTCATCTTAAGGACATATATTAACCTTAATAGATGTAAATCAGATGTTTTTATAGTTCAGAAGGTTTATAGTCTTTTTAACTACTATGATAATAAAGAATTGTGTTTACTTGAAAAGGGGAGATACCCTCACATTCATTTGCAAGTGCTGTCACAAAGATAAAAGGTCTTTATTATATTGAATTGCTTCTTATTCATTTAAGTATATCTTTCAATACAAATTTCCAAAGAATTCATATCTTCAGTCAATATATGAAGAAAACAAAGTAAATGTCATAAAACTTGAACCAAACAATGAAAGTTTATCAAAATAGCCTGAATAATTTTATCATATATGTAAATTTTTCCCTCAAATTTTCAGCTTAATAGCTTCTGCCATGTCTGACACTTGATTAAATGAATGATTAATGCGATATCGGTAATAGTGATTTTAACACCTTGAAAATCAAAATTGGTATATTAAGATGGCTTTTCATTTATAACAAATTTAGCTGCACGATTACTATTGAAATATTTTTTTTGGAAATCAATAAATTTGAATAGAAAACAAGTATTTTTTCATACAACAATATCTGTCTATTTAAAAGAAAAATTGCCACTCAAATATTGAAACATTACCTTATTCATACATTTTTAACATTACTTAATTACTATGAATTGTCAACAAATGAAATATTATTTTATTTCTTTTACAGGTGTTCCTGCTGCTGCCTTGTGTGGTCAAACCTGTGGACGATAATAATCATGCAAACCACATATATATTGCTTTTTTGTTAAATAATTCTGAAAGCCAAATAATTAATTTTTTAAAGCTGCTGTTTTTTTCCAATTGCTGTAAATTCACAATTTTTTTTAATGCTGTTATCTATTTTTCATTTACTGTAAATTCACAAATTTTTGGTTTTTAATACTGTTATTTATTTTCCAATTACTGAAAATTCACAGATTTTTGATACATACATTTTTTTTTACTGAAAATTGCTACACCAGGATAGATTTCGCTAAAATAAAATTATATTTTAAATTTTGATTGCATTATTTATTTGCAACATGTCCTTAAATAATATAATTAATTAAACCTTTTTGTCCAATGTTTAACAGTCCCAAGCAATAAATCTTAAAATTTTTTTTTTTAATTTGCTGTATAAATATGTTTTCATTATTTATATATGCATGATATTATTGTAGATTGTATTTTGCTTTAAAATAAACAAAATTGTATAATAATTGTTATTTGAGAAGTACCAGTGTACTGTTTTACAAAGCATCCATTAGACTTTCATCAGTTCACAGACGTCATTAAAAGTTTTGCATGTTAGCACAATGAAACACGGTGTGTCCGTTGAAGGTGACAGCGTTTGATATGGATAGGCACATCAAAGAACCGAAAAAATTCAATTTTTGAGGAAATCAAACAAAGTTGAATTTTGACCCCTTGGACCTCAATGTGAACCAATTTGATAGCAAATCAAAATCCAATATCTAAATACATGGTTAGATTCAGCATATCAAAGAATATTCAATTTTTGTTGAAATCAAACAAAAGTTTAATTTTGGACCCTTTGGACCATAATGTGGACCAATTTTAAAATGGGGCCCAATATTAAAAATCTAAATACAGGGTTAGATTCGGCATATCATACAACCCCAGTTATTCAATTTTTGGTGAAATCAAAGTTTAATTTTGGACCATTTGGATCTCAATGTGGACTGATGTAAAAACGGTACCCAAAATTCAAAATCTAAATACAGGGTCAGATTCAGCATAATATAAAGACCAAAATAATTCAAGACTTTGAATTAAACACCATTGAAATTGGTCAAGAAATACTGTAAATTCAAAAATTATTGCATGCATTTATTATTGCAATTTTTTTTAAAATGGACAAAAATGTGAGTTTATTATTGCGATTTCAGAAAAATCTGCATACATATCTTTGTATCAATAAGAATGCAAGTTCTTATTATTGCGATACTCAACCAGTTGCATTATTCACATAAATAAAATAAAACTTCGCAATAATTTCTGAATTGACAGTAAGCAATTTATACAAAGTATTAGAATAGTATTGTTTTTGGCTCCTTATTCAAAAACGGTCAGGGCCATAATCCCCAAAATCAATCCCAACTTTTCTGTTTTGGTATGGAACCTTGTGGTACAATTTCATAGAGATCCATAGACTTATACTCAAGTTATTATCTGGAAACCTGAGAATCCGGGTTTTTTTTTTTGTGTCCCTTTTTGTCCCTTAATTCTGTAACGGTTTAGTCCATTACCATCAAAATCAATCACAACCTTCCTTTTGAGGTATAAATTTCATAGAGATCCATTCACTTATACTCAAGTTATCTGGAAACCAAATGTCTTTGGACAAGGATGCAGACGACGACATCACCATACCATTATAGGGGAATTTTTTTTCGGTCGTATAAAAATACGGAATAATGTTAATATAAAAATAAGGAGATGAGGTTTGATTGCCAATGAGACAACTATCCACCCAAGTTCAAATAAAGTGGATGTCAGCAATTGTATAAGCAACCATACGGCCTTCAACAATGAGAAAACCCAATCCCGTATAGTCGGCTATAAAAGGCCCCGACATGAAAAATATGAAACAATTCAACAATTGAGAAAACCAACGGCCTAGTTTATCACAAAACAATTTACGAAAAACAAATGTGACAGACGTGAACCAACGACGACCACTGAACTACAGGCTCCTGACTTGGGACAGGCACATAAATGAATGTGGCGGGGTTAAACATGTTTGTGAGCGCTCATGATCAACCCTCCCCCTAACCTGGGAAAGTGGTGTAACAGAACAAAGAAAGAGCAAACTATAAAAATCAGTTGGAAAAGGTATAACTCATCAGATCGATACAAAGCAGAAAAACATCAAATATAAACACAGACCGGATGTGGCAGGGTATTTATCCAGCCCTCATCCCTATTAACAAAAAGGACACAAGTACAGCTCTGAGAGTACTCGCAGTTACTGACGGCTAGTTCAAAGCCAATAACTAATAAAAAAAAATCATCTTAAGACTAAAATATCAATCAGTACACACCCAACATCCAATGGATTTAGTGTAAAGACGTCATTAACAGAGAAAAACATGACCTTGTGCAATGCCAAAATGATGGAAGTATCAACATATTGTAGTACCGTTAAAGTGCATATGTGTATAAAAAAAACTATGATTTTAATTTACTGATAAAATCAATAATACCAATAAAAACAATATTCAAAGATCTAATTACAGTGTTGAATTGGTAACCTTTTAGAATAAGTTTCTTTAAAGGATTCATAAGTTTACCCGGATCGTATATAAATTTCCGGGCTCGGTAAACAATATCACCGTAAAATTTAGGATGTGCTATTCCGTCTAAAATAAGTTTTTTACAGGTACAGCCAAACTTGCAAACTAAATCTTTGTATCTATGGAAGAATTTCGTAAAGGTTTTAAGTAAATTGTGGTAACGAAATCCCTGACTTAATGATTTACCAGTAATACATAGATTACGCTCATTGAAATACCAAACGTCACTACAGACTCGGGCATAACGAACGAGTTGGGATATATAAACACCTTAAGATGGTGCCAGAGGGACATCACCGTCCAAAAAAGGAAAATTAACAATAGGGAAAGAAAAATCCATTTTGTCGTAAATATTTGTGTGTAGTTTCTGGTATAACACTGAAATGTCTAAATCTAGGAAAGGACACTTATTGCTGTTAATATTTGATTTATTTAAGGTAAGTTCCTGTGGGTAAATTTCGGCAGTATATTTAGAGAATTCTTGATTATTCAAAGAAAAAATACCAAAATAACGGTAAGTGTTGTTGAATTTATCAAATAGAATTTAGACGGGTCTTTACTGAGTTTGGCCATAAACTGATTCATAACAGTACAGGAACAAGTCTGCTGTTAAAGGGGCACAATTTGTGTCTAAAGGAATACCTACAATCTGTCGATAAACTTTATTGCCGAAACGTACATAAATGTTGTCAAGGAGAAAATTTACAACTTTAATCATCTCATCACACCTCCAGTAAGTATATCTAGCATACTTGCCTTTCTCGTTTGAGAAAAAGACTTTATATGAGTTGCATGAAATAAATTTGAAACCAGATTTTTCGAACGACTATTTAACTAAATAGGAAAATTTTTGTTTGATAAGATTGTGTGGAAGTGTAGTGTAAAGAGTGGAAAAGTCAAAACTGTCAACCGAATCAAAAGGACCATCAGAAGCACGTAATTTATCTAAAACATCCAAAGATTTTTTTACACTCCAAAAATGGTTAATTCCCCTGTTTTCATATGTTTTATTACAAAAAATAATGATCAGTTCTTTGGCAGTAGTTAAGGAAGTCGCTAAAAGCACTGAAAGTCTAGTAGTAGAACACATACTAGAGGCCGAGATGAAACAATAGTTTACGTGTTTTTTTTTGTGTGTAGTTTAGGTGACCAATACATAGTGGGGAACTTCAAATGTTCAGAAGAGGCCTTAAGCTGGGCTGTCGGGTTGTGACATGCTTATTTACTATGTGACTCCCTGTGGAGCGTACGGCCTTGAATGTAGTTGACTGTATAGTTTCATTCTTAAAGACTTCCTTGTAGTATTTACGTCGGTAGAGTCGTGAATAATACTAGACAAGTTAATAAAATCAAAACCTCAATGGATGCATTTTATTTTTATGAAATACTTTTTGATCTTCAGGTTTGTCAATTTGAGGGAACTATGGTGACAACAGGCTGTAATAATTCGTGTACACTCAATAAGTCAATAATTGGCAAAAAAAAAAAACACTTTCAAGTAAGAAATCCTGATTCGGGCGTCTGTATTGAGTAACTTCGATAGCGTCATATTGTGTACGTACCAACCTTTGAACAGTTCTATATTTGAAAGAT